GAGAGGTCGGAAGAAAAAGGTTCGTTTGCATTCCAAAGGCTTTCCCAGGGAGGCCGTGGGGCCACTCTGGTGACTGCAGGGCTTGGCAGGGCACTGGCCCCCGGGTGAAACTTCCCTTCTCTCAGCTCCATTCAGGCCTCATTCACAACTCAGAAAAGATGACCGAGCCCGGATCCTATTCTTCCCGAGGCATTTCCTCCAAAAAGTCTTTAAAAACGGCCCTGGTTAACGAGCAGCTTGTCCTTTCACAGACACAATGTGGGCCTGCTCAGACCTGCTGCTGCCCTGGCCTCACAGCCCTTTTATCCCTGTCAGATCCCACACGGAGCACGGCTCCAGCTGCCGCTGCACAGGAAGGCATTAGGGACACTTTCTGGAACATTTCCTCATGGAAACAGCTGGTCTACACAGAAGATACGTGTGTTATGTAAAAATAACACCCTGACAGCAATACTGAGAGGCAGGGACACCACTGAGTGCTTCCAGAGGTAACACAGGCCTCGGGAGCTCTCGTTCCGCACTCTCCTTCCCCACTTGTGCAAACATCCTGAGAGTTCACTCCACGTGAAGAGAAGGAAACAGAGCCCTGGGTTCCGCTGCCAAAAGGGCCTTTGAAGTCTGTTCCCACTCTCCCAATGAATCCTGTTGCTGCCCCTGCTCTCCCTCCTGCCCAAGGAGATGACTCCTGGTTTGGGACACCACACACATTTTGGGGGCTGTCCACAGAGCCCAAGTCAGAAATGTACTTTTTGCTCCATTTGAGATTCATGTCGAAATGAATTCTCCCTGTGCTGTTTTTTAAAGGAATATGTAACAAAGGCATCTTTTCAGCCAATGCTTGGTCTTCCAAAAACGTTCCAGAGCTTCTTTCATGTCCAAAAGTAGCAGTTTCCAAATGCAATACAGAGACAATGTGCGACCTCCAGCAGCATAGGGAAAAAATAAATCACTTAAAAACTAAAAAAGAAACAAAGAATTTCTCTGTTAAGACCCTTTATTTGCAAATGTATCATCAAACCAAGGACATGCTGCTTAAGCAATCTCCAGGGATTGCTGGGATTTCAAAGAAAAATACATTAGTGAAGTGACGAGTCAGGGACCAAACACCTAAACAGAAGAAAGCAGCCTCCTCTGTAAGTGTAAACAGAATTTGTCTTATTTCTTCTTATTCATCGACAGATATGTTTAATTCAAGAACTAATTAGGGGTTTGAAACAGGAGAAAACTGGGTTTTTCAAAGTCATAGGAGGAAATTAAGAAGAAAAGCAAGAGCAAAGTTCTACTATTTCTTAAGTACTTAAAAGAAAGAGCAACCAGAAACAGCCAGTCCTAGGAAAAAATCCTATGTAATGCAGTAAGTTTAATTTATTTATCAAAACATGGTTCTTTTCTTCTCTCTTCTTTTCAAACAGTAAGCTTTTAATAGATCTTTAATGTACATACTTTGGCTCTGACTCTTTCTCCCCTCCCTGGAGAGACCTTTTAAATAGATCCCAATTTCCATTTAAATAGAAGCAATCAATAATAAAATATGTCAGCATAAGAAAGTATTATTCTCCAAGAGCAGACCAAGAAATCTTTCACAGCCATGTTCAACCATCTACTTAAACATGTACAGGTAACACCTCACTTGGTATCAAAAAACGTGGGCAGCAGTGAGTGCACACACGTTGCCTTCCCTCAAAGTTTATTTAAGTGACAACAAATGGGAATTAACCTAAGGAAAAACTAGAAAGAAAAATTACTAGAAATCAAGGTGTCCTGCTCGCTGATTTCAATCACTGACACAAGTTTGACTCAAATGACTTCTTGGCCTTTTGGCCAAGGCCAAGCACAGGATCCATCCCAGTGGGACTGGATAAGAACTTTCCTAAATGTACTCGAGACAATCTCACTTGCTGGGCAGCTCCCACAGCAGGGGTGTAACAGGTGAGAGCAGAGGCTGCAGTTTCAGCTCAGGGTTCAAGTCACAGGCACCACACACAAACAGGGCCCTGGAAAGGCTGCATTCGGAATGGAACAGAACTGTCCCTCCCTGCCTCATCCTGCTGGGGCTCCTCACCAACAGCACACACAGGGCACACCCCGAGGAAACCCCCCCAGCCCAGGCTGCAGCACTGACACAGCAACCAGTGCTCCCTCCCCGAGGTGTCCCAGGGCAGCACAGCCACTGCCCCACGTCACTGGGGACGAGGGGACAAGGCCACACACCCACAGTGCCCACAGCTCCAGGGACAACACGACACTCACCCAGAACCTCCTCTGCCCTGGGCACTAAAACCTGCCCAGAGCTCCACCCGCAGCCTCAGAGACCCCTGGGAAGGACCCAGCACAACCAGCCTGGGGAGCAGCTCCCCCAACTCCTGCCTGCAAAACCAGGAGCAGACTGTTCTACCCTGGGTCGTACCTAGAAACTACAGCCTGAAACGGGACCAGCTTAAATCAAATGAGATCCTTCAATCTACCACAGGTTGTTGCAGACCACAGCAGAGGCACAACTGACACAGAGATGATTTTAAAGCTCAGCCTTACACAAACCTGACAGCTGGGCCTGCTGAAAGCACCTGTCCCACACCAGCTGCCTCTGGAATGAGTTCACTTTCCTCCTTCGACCCTCTTGGGTCAGCACTGGGACACTGCCACACTTGGGGTCCCAGCACTTTGAGGGCTCTGACACTGGTCCTCAACACACCTGAGGGCTCTGAGAGCAGCTCCCAGGGGCTGGAGGAGGTGGAGGGATCAGCTGGATGCTGCCAACTGAGGTGTGCTAAAATAAAACTCATAACCAAAGGCTGGTTACATCAGGTACCTGTTTAAAGTACATTTCTGCCCTTAACCACACTGCAATCAGACATGGCCAAGCCTCCACCTCTTGAGAAGAATCTCCAAACTGCCTCAGCAATTGTGTGAAATGGCACAAGGACACCCTGACACCCTCACCCACCTGTGCTGAGCAGCCCCACCACTGTCACACAATACAATTATGTTTTGCTTCACAGTTAGTTCAAAGTACCATAAATTTCCTCATAGTTCATGGGAAGGACCAGCTACATTGAACCTGCACCAAACACACTGTTGTAGCTTCAGACCATTTCTGCTGAAATGCTGACACTCCTCACCACACCAGCACAGCTACAAAGGGTTTGTGCAGCCTCCTTCACATTAAATAATAACTGGATGTATGCTAATTGCCTTTCCTCCAGTGAACTGTCTGCATTCCCTTCAGATTTCCTGTAGCTACAAATATGATAATCAGGAGAACAAAGACTTTAGCACAGCCACTCACTCGGGCACAGCAAACGCAGTGGAGTGTGTGTGCCTGGCTCCCGCAGCAGCACAAGGGAGACCTGCAACCCTACTGCTCTGAGCCCCCCGAGCCCACCTTCACAAGGTATTAATAAAGAATAGTGCGAAACTGCACATCTGAGTGAAGTCTCTGGAACTGCACGGACAATGCAGCCCCTTAGCAACGCGGCCGCTCTGAAACCAACCAATCCACCTTTAATTCCCACTTCCTCCCAAGCTCTCTGGACAGCAACTTCTGGCACTCCATCAGTCCCCTTTTATCCCAGTTTCTTTTTATAAATCCAAGGTCAGGTTTCCTCTCCCATCTCATGTGATGTGCTGGACTGAAGTTGTGCCAGCGTGGTCGGTCCCCTCGGCTGCCAAACCCCCTCCCGCGCTGCCCCAGCCTGTCCCACCACCCCCG